CTTAAAATTCTGTCCTACAACCAAGTCAGCATATTGGAAAGCACCAATGTCTCTATCTATTCACATCTCTTTTTATGTACATATTTGCATAAACACACAGTTTTTTAAGGCTCCAAATATTGTTTTTGAAATTATATGGCATCCTATAACTCATTTAGTGAGTGAATCTGTTATGATTTCTCAGCAGTCATTATAAATACTTGGGAATGTGTGTAAAGTGAGAAAACCTGAACTATAAACTGAATTTTAAATTTCACATTTAATGAGTACCAAATTTAACAATAAAGTTAACTAACATTACCTTTCTTAAACAATGTATTGTTCCCTGAAGCAAAGGAGGACAATAAAATACCATGTCCCTGGATGCTCCATTTTTCTTTCCCCAAATCTAGCCAAAATAAGGGAACAATGAGATCAGGTGTGGGATGGGAAGTCCAGATACATATTATCTTGGAGGACATGGGCTTTCTCTAGGCACACTGGGAACTAGAGCAAGTTAGTGTTATCTGTAGAAGTTACTTTCTGCACGTACAACAGGACAGTTGCTCCCTGTGATGCTGTTCCTATAAGCAAACTAAGCAAGCTAATGCTGGTGATGTCACTGATTCTGCCACTCAAGATATAAACCCCTTTCAGAGTGGGGACAGGCATGGAACTGAGGGCATTTTGGAAAGAATACATGTCACTCAACCAGTCACGGTGGAGAGAACACTGTGAGTAGACATTGCTTGGCTATACACTGTGAGGGAATAGAAGCTGTCCACCTTTTGCCACCGAATTCTTCTTGGTGCAGTCACTGATCTCATTAGCTTAACCTAATAAACCACACTCTCCTATATTGTCTCTGGGTACTTTTTTTGGCTTTCCCACAACTTACCACAAATGGACTGTGAATGAGATAAACATGCAATTTAATATTTATTAAATTTACTTCTAAAGCTTTTTCTTTGTATTTTGGAGCCAATTTTTCTTTTAATTTCAAGTCTCAAACATTTTTTATAAGTTTATGCAAAGCTTATGGCCATAAGGCACTATACCTAATACTTTAGGTACCAAGGGATTAAACAGCCACCCCCACCCATCCTCACTCCACCTCAACTGGCAAGAATCAACTTATCTGAAACCACTTCTCCTCATCCAGAAGGCATTCCCTCATCACCCTCTGCTTCCTGCCTCCTTCCCCATGGATAAAGTGCTCCTCCTAGCTGCTCCTATAATTAATTCTTACCACATTTATTTATCACTTTTATATCAGTTTGCTATTATTTTTTAATGTATCTATCTTCCAGCTAAACTGTAGGCTCAGTAAGTGTAGGAATGGATTTATTTTGTTTTCATCTTCAGAGCATGTACACAGTAAGTCCTCAATGAATATGTGTTGTATTCATGAATAAATAAACAATGATCTAGTAGAAAAGAGACAGAATCTATTGAGATGAGAGCTTCCATGAGAAGTATCTCTACTAGGTGTGATGGTGTCTTTCAGGGAGGCAGCAGGTGGTTGCGTCTAAGGACACGAAGGTGACATTTGAGCTGAGACAAACTGATAATTGTGAGGTGAGGGCAGTGTCTGTGGACTGAAGGGGAAAGCCAGGAACTCTAGGTGGAGAGAAAAATGTGAAGAGAGCCAACAATAGAGTGAGACTAGAGAGAGCCAGATAAGAAAAAGTCCAGGAATTAGGGGGAGAGTGGATGGGGGAGGGGGCACAGCTCAAGATGCATTTTTGTGTCTAGTTAACACTTCCCTTTTTTTTTTTTTTTTTTTGGTACCAGGGATTGAACCCAGGGGCACTTAAATTCTGGGCCACATCCCAGCCTTTTTTATTTTTATTTTTAAAAATATGAAATAGTCTCACTAGACTGCTTGCAGCCTTGATACGTTGCTGAGGCTGTCTTTGAACCTGTGATCTTCTTGCCTCAGCCTCCTAAGCCCCTGGGATTACAGGCATGTTCTATCACACATAGCTAATGCTTTCTTTTTTGACCTTATCAATTGTTTAATAATATTCAATAATCAAATATTTACTAAGCTCTAGTTATGTGCCTGGAACACTGGCTGCAATTGTCTTCCCAGTTCACTTCAGTGGAGATGATAAATAAAGAGAGTTTCATACTCACTCTTCATTTGAGATACCACTTACATCTCGGAAGGGTATCAAACCCTAAGAGCCTTCTACTTGTACTTGTTTACCAGTGTTCTGGCTGGGATTGCTACATATTATAAAATAACTTTCCCAGAGCTCTTTTAATTCCTTCCATCATTATCTATTTAAATTTATAAGAATTGCTCCTGCCAAAAGAGTAAAAAAAAAAAAAAAAAAAAAAAAAAAAAAAAAAACCCAGAAGAGACTGCAAGTTCATTTAAATGACAATGTGGAAACATTTCTGGATAAAAGGCCATAGACCAAAATGGCAAATATCATCACCCCCCTACACAACTTCCTACACCAACAAGTTCTGTGAATTTTCCAAATAACAATCTTTCCTTGTCCCCACTGAGCTCAGTACTGCCAACCCAAGGTCAAGGTCTTATTAGATCTCTTATGGAAGATGGGATATACAAATAGGGCTGTGGAAGTCATAGTGTCCATCAACTGCAGTTGGTTTGAACAGTCCCTGAGCCTTGATCTTGTATGAAGAAATTGATACGAGGCCCTCAAAGGTAGCAAGAAGATTTTTGTCTCCATGAAGCCTCTGTTTTGGTTCTTCAGAAACTAAAAAATGCCTCTTCTTTGGGGTTGTGTAATATTTTTTATATATGCAGAATAAATCATATAAGCTCCTAAAAAGTCTTGGCATTTGCTGATGCTTTGGATCAGATGCAACACAATCAGCAATAGAAAGAACATCTTAGGAGTTGAATTTTTTTTTGTTTGATTTACTTTCTCTGATTCAAAGATAATCTAAAAGCAGTATTAATTTTTAAGTTGAGGATATACCTAATACAAAGGTAATTAGGTAGCCTCAAGTTAAAAGTGTCTGTATATGATGACATAGTTTCTGGAGGGTTTTAGAGCTGGGGATGGGTGGTTGTCTTGAAAACACCCAGACAAGAGGTAAAGAGCAGACAGCTGAAGACAGAGTGCTGGGCTGCTGGGTTAAGCTCTGGGCTGCTACTGGAGGAAGGAAGTTGTTGCTGGGCAACTGAGAGAATGTGGCTCTGAAGCATGTTTGTTGCAACCTGACAGTTGTTAAGCATCAGATGAAAAGAGAGGAAGCTGCCTTAGTAGAGAGGGGGCAACCAGAAGGGGTGCCCTGAGTGCTAGGAAATGCGTCATGAGTGGAGAATTCTGACTCAGTCACTGGGAGGGGTGGGGGGACATGCCCAAACTGTCTCTACTGGGGGAGGTCACTGAGACATACTGTCTCCCCACTCTGAACCAGAGGGTGGGCTCTGGGGAATGTGAATAGACAAGTGATGGGACTCTTTTGGCTCAACAAGAAACTAGGCCTTTTTCTCTCACAGGGACTTCTGTCTTGGTATCTGTGGCTGATGAAAGCAAAACTGAGCTTGGAATCTAGAGTCAGTTTAAGGCCACTCCATGAGAGAGACCACCCCCTAGTCTGAGAGGATCACAGAAAGGAGCCAAGGGGCCCCCAGGAAAGTGGGCACATTCTTGCTTTGATAAGAACAAAATGGTTTTGGTTTCAAAGTATTTTTCCATCTCTTCCCTAATGTGAATCTCGTACATGTGTAGAGCAGGTCTTATGTCTCAATTTTACAAATGGGGGATGGAATCCCCTTTGAATGACAGCAAGTTAGCTTCAGCTCAGAGCCAGAAAACAGTCTCCAGGCCACTGGCAAATGTTGATGTGCCCCAGTGGGCTGCCCAGCACTCTGATCTCACTAAGGGTCCCATGCTCAGGGGGGATGCTGACGACTTTATAAAGAGAATTAAGGAAGACTCTATAGCTATATTGAGACCTTTTAGGAAAATATACATATTAATAGTAGGTACTAAAGATTTTTTTGAGAGAGAGAGAGAGAGAGAGAGAGAGAGAGAGAGTGTGTGTGTGTGTTTTTGCGCTACTGCTTGAGCCACATCCCCAGCCCGGTAGTAAAGAAATTTTAATGCAGAAGCTCCTAACCTGGAGTTGGCTTCAGTGGCCTCTGTGTGTCCTGTGGGAACTTAACATTCCCTAAGAAAAGGGTCTAGCACTGGTGTCAGAGTATCTTTTTCTATAAATTTATAAAGTATTATACTTATATAGATGAATGATAGGGCTAAGAAAGGCTCAATATCTTGCCCACAATCACAGAAGTCAAACCAGGCCTTCTTCTTTCTTTTTTTGGGGGGGAGAGGTACCAGAGATTGAACTCAGGGGCACTCAACCACTGAGCCACATCCCCAGACTTTCTTGTATTTTACTTAGAGACAGGGTCTAAGTTGCTTAGTGCCTCACTAAATTGCTGAGGCTGCCTTTGAACTCACAATCCTCCTACCTCAGCCTCCTGAGCTGCTGTGTGCTGCCACCATGCCCACCTCCTTTTTTTGGTACCACAGATTGAACCCAGGAATACTTAACCACTGAGCCATATCCCCAACCATGACAGGATCTTGTTAAGTTGCTTAGAGCCTTACTATGTTGCTAAGGCTGGCTTTGAACTGGTGATCCTCCTGTCTCAGTCTCCTGAGTCGCTGAGATTACAGGTGTGCAACACCAAACCTGGCTTCTTTCTTAACCACATTGCTACAGCTGTTGGGGAGCACTCAGCCCACATTTGGAATAAACACACACCTAATGCTGAAGCTCCTATGACTCCTGGATCACTAGGCCAATGTTCTAAAAATCATATTGGTCAAGATTTCTTGGGCTTCTGGAACTTGGAGCTTCCTCCAGGCTTGTTCTGAACACTGGGTTCACACCTCCACCAGTGTCAATTCATGTTGGTGTGCCCCAGTGGGCTGCTCAGCACCCTGATCTCACTAAGGGTCCCATGTTCAGAGGGGATGCTGAGTCCCAGATGCTGCCTGTCCCAGGAATCACCCTTCCCTTACCACATGGAAGAGCTTGAAGAAGTCCACATTGGCATACAAAGTGTCTTCTATCCACTGTAGGGTCCCCTGGGAGAGGGAACACAGGGCGTCACGCACAGCCCATGCCCCATGACGCTGGCCAAAGATGATGAAGCGCTCTAGGAGTACTTCATTGCAGGCGATGTCCTTCAGCACCAGGTCTGGAACTCCGTGAGCAAACTGCAGGGGAGAGAGGCAACACTGAACTCTCCTGGTGGTAGGAAATCACTGCTCCCCCCACTCAAAGATGCCCACATTCTAATCCAAGGGACCAGTGAATATATTATATTGTAATACAAATGGAATTAATATTGCCAATGGATTAAGTTTGCTAATTAGCTGCCTAACTAGATCAGCAGGTTATTTTGATTTATCTGGTTGAGTCCAATATAATCCTTGAAACATGGAAGGAGATAGAAGAAACAGTGTCAGAAGAATGTGAGATAGGCTTGGTGGGCCACTGCTGGCCTTGCAGATTGAGGGGGACCACAAGCCAAGGAACATGGACAGTGTTTAGATGCTGGAAAAGGTAAGAAATTAGATTTTCCTTTAGATCCCCGGTAAAGGATGTAGACCTCCTGGTACCTTGACTCTCATATTTCTCTTCTCTAGAATCATAAGAAAATATTTTGGTGTTGTTTTAAACCACTAAATTTGTGGTGCTTTGTTTCAGCAGCAATAGAAAATCCAGACATTCCCCCCAAGCCTCACTTTATTAGAGAAAGTTTTAAAATGTAAGAGATCCCCTTCTTTGCACATGATGCCAAGGTGCCATATAGACCTCCCCCGAGGAGTCATGAGAAGACACTTGTGGTGGTTCTCACTAAATCTATCACAGAAAAATACCAGATGCCCAGAGAAATTTGAATTTTGGGTGAATAATAAGTAATTTTAGTATATAAGTGTGTCCCAAATAGGGTCTAAATGGAATGTAATTATGTTTGAGTTCTTTTTTTTTTAATCATTTATTTGATTTAACTGGTTATCCATTTTTGGATCCGTGACCCCCAAGGCCTGTGTATCTCACCACCCCTTCCATGGACAGTGACTCCTGAAACATCATGCCCATGTTGGCCTCCAGAGGCTAAAGAGCCAAGAGAAGGGCATCAACCATGGTCAGAGGCCTTGGCCACCCAGCACAGTGCCTGGCCTCCTGGATCCACTGCAGCGAACAAGACCTTGAGGATCATGAACGAATAAGACTGTCTGGGCATTGCGGTCTCCTCATGCCTTCCAGTTACATGGTTCTCTGGCAGAGCAGGTCTAGCTTTGCCACCTGCTGCGTAGGGACCGTCAGACCCCACCTGGAAAAGCCTGGTCCCTACACAAAGTGCAAATCACTGCTGATGGTGGATCAGCTCTGTACTCCCTCACCTAGTGACAGGCTGCGTGTGCCCACAGAGCCTTCCTGCTTTGCCCACAACCACTTCTCTCATCTCTAATTCCAGAGGCTAAAACATTCCAAGATGGAGGGTATCAATCAACTCATTTTGTCCAAGCCTCTCATATTCCCAAGGAGGAAGTGATGGAAGACGAATCAAGTGACTTGAGAAACTCACAAAGCCAACCAGAGAGAAAACTGGGACACCATGAAGGTCCCACTCATTGGTCACTCTCTCTCAATGCCCACTCACTGGCTTCTTACTGTGCAGCCACCAGAGGAGTGAATGGGATGAATAAGTCCAATTCCTGCCTCTTAGAGGCTCTCCAACTAGCTATACAGGCAACTATACAGGCATCTAAATAGCAGAAATGCCAGATTAAACACAGTTAAACCAGCACACAGAGGAGGGATAGTTAAGTAGAGCTAGGAAAGGCTGTCAGTGCTTATTAAATCTTCACTGTATCAGGTATTGTCAAAAGCCATACCTGGGTTGCAAGTGGGTGACCACACATGGAAGCCTAGTGGATAGAAACATCTGGTATCTGGGAATGACCAGTGGATATTTCCTCTGGTCAACTGCTCAGGGACATTGTGAATTTCTACCGGGCTCTGCCATGGTCCACACTGCACCTGAGATGGGTGTGATGTGAGAAGATGGCAATCAACCTGCTGACTGCAAAATACCAGAAAGCAAGACTTGGTCCTTGAAACCTTATCCCTGGCTTTGATATACCCCCTTAATAAACCACCTGAGCCATCTTTTCTATGTCTAGTTTCAGCACTCATGTGGACTAGATCTATCAGGAGCTTCAATTTTGTAAATATATTTTGGCCATTTGTGTTTTGTTATTCACTAATTATTTGAGACTTTTAAGTTTTAGAGTGGCTTACATCCTCCTGGGCAGGAAGAAGACTCTCCCAAAGAGACACTGGCTGTGGCCCCGTAATGATGATGCTCAACATGGACCTAACCCAGGAATGAATTCAATGTAAGCAGAGACTTGGTTAAATGGGGTCTGATCCCCTGCAGATTCAGAAGATAGAAATTAAGTTAAGCAACACCCACTTCAAAGAAATTGATGGTACACTGCAATCTAGAGCAGGGAGGTGGGAAAGTTCATTTTGATACCCTGATAGAAAACCGAAGCAAATCGCTTGCAGAAAAGGTCTATCTACTCAAAATCCTTTTTAAAACAGAAATGGGGTTGGGGGAGAGACGCATTTTCTACTGCTTTCTGTAGTACTCTAACAATTTAAACTGAGCGGGCAAATTCCCCGCAGCACCTCCCACTGCATCCTTACAGACCGCTAAGATAGAGCAATCTAACTTAAAGGCATAACCCAGTTGAACTCTAATCACGCAAATTTAGAATGCTGGGACCGACAGAAGGCTCTAACCGCGGATTCCAGCAAGGTCTGTAACCTACATGAGGTGGGCCAGCAGTGTCTCTTGTCTCTTTGGTACCTGCAAAAAGGATGGCAACTCTAACTAACTTGGGTACCAAACACAACCTACTTTGATTTATCCTGACCGGTGATTAGTCCATTGCTAGCTAAAGCCCACCTTTGGGTTGGAAATTATTTGCTGTGTGGACCTGTACACACACAGGAAGAAATCTATCCACAGCTGCAGGGACAGCTACTGCTCCCTGCCAACAACGTCTGCCTTCTGTCTGGGCTGGGCTGCTAACCCAAAGAGGAGACAAAATGCCGCCGCCGCCCACCAGTAGTGCTGAGGTTTGCTGCAAGGAGTCAGCAAAAGGCAGGGAGATCCAACCTAAAAAGCCTCGGAGTGTGCCGCAGAGGGGATACAGTCGGGAGGCGCAGGCAGACAAGCTGATGGAACGAAACAAAACAGGGCAAATCGAGCGCTGGCCGCGGAAGCTAGACGCATAACAGCGGCGGCAGCAACGGCATTGATCTGGAGGATGCTGAGGGTGGCCAGAGACACGGGCGCTTGCCCCTTCGTTGGCTGGGACAGCAATGGCGGCTCACCGGGCCCATGAAAAAGGCAGTCATAGCTCAGATAGCTTCCAGCCTGACAAAAGCTGCCGGTATTTTAACTTCAGATAGGCAAACATGGGAGGCACTCGAGGGGTGGGGACCCCAGAGCTTCAGGCAGAATTTCAGGTAATAAGGAAAACACGGGAAAATAGCTCTGGCCACGCGACCTCAGAATCATGGCACACCCCTTCAAGCCCCGCCTCCCGGCCTCTTCTGGCTTCCTCTTGGTTCCTCCCGCCCACCCCTAGGGCGGGACTTCCGCCCGCCCTCTAGCGTTGCGGAACCTTTATCTCACAGCATTGCTGTTTCTCACAAGCAAACACCCAGCTAGAAGTTTTTCTTTCGTTGACGAGGGATTTTCTTTACAGACAAAAAGCAAGCCAATGAACTCCTGCGTCTTTAATAGTGGCCTTGTTCTTAATTCTTTCCGGATGCTGAGTTGAATAAACTAATTTCTAATCCCATTAACCAGGTTTCTCCAAGAAACTTGATTTCCCATTCTCTCTACAGCTGTGCTTCTAAGGAAGAGTTGCAAAAAATTATTACGTTTTTCTCACACATTATTTTTTGTTTTCTCACACATTATTTTTCTTTTTAGAGATACTATAGGTAAATTTGACCATTATGAGAACAAAAGCCGGCAATCTAAAATGTTTAATCTCACAACGTTCTGATGATGGCCAAAATTTTTATTCTTATGATTTCTAAATATGTAGACACAATGATTAAATATGTTATATGCACAGAAATTCTATTTTAACTGCATTAATGTCAAGGTTTGCATAGATAAAAGAGTGCACTCATAATATTTAAACTAAAATAAAATGGATCCAAATACTTTTAAGTCACATGACTTAATAAGGTTCAATTTAAGGTGGTTGGTTAAATTTTAAAAAGCATATCTTCACTTCTCAATACATATTTTTCCAGCTGGTTAAGTAATCTATATAATCTTTAATTCATAGGGTAATTAACAGATGTCTATTTACTTCTAATAATTTTCTTTCCACAGGAAATACATAACTCATTATGTACATTTACCTGATGCCCTTCTTCAAAGATAAACAATATTAAATTCATGGTAAGTGTAATTCATTATATAAATGCCTATCTCAAAAGATACTTAGTAACTTACAACGTTAAAATGCAACTATAAAGTAATCTTAACTCCGAACTATTGTTTAGATTTTCATAAAGTAGTAAACAGATATGATTCTATGTACAAAGGTGTCTAAAAATTTTAGCTACATTTCCATTGAAATATTTTTCTTATTAAAATATAAAAATTTATCTAGATTCAAAGATTTACAGGAATTGTTTCAAAATGTAACCATAAAGAAGAAGTCTAGAAGGAAAGGAAAAAAATTCTACAGAAAGAAAAGAAAAATTGGAGACTCCTACAAGGAAGAAAGAAAACATCTCTGGGTAAAAAGATCTTTATGTATAGAAGACTTTAATGATAGAAAGAAAAAAGAATTTTCTCAATAGAGGAATCTTTGTATGATTATATACAGAAGGTCTAAATAGGTGATGTAGAATGTTTGAGTAAATAGAGAAAAGATTTTTGTGTGGCTAAATTGGTTATAAATACATAGGACAACCAATTAAAAATATTTGAGGCTTTTCCCTAAGAGCAAATATTCATATGCTTATATAAACAAAAATTTTAACCTATATATTGAGATGACAAGAACTTCTTAAAGCATTAATCTACTCTCATTCCAATAGAATAATTACTTATGCCTAGTAAATTTTATTATTTAAAAAAGGACTAATTTTTAAGAAATTAAGATTCATACATTTTTGATTGAATGTTAATGTTTTAAAATACCACCTTGAGTTCTAAGTTTCAAACTTCTCTTTGAAAGCTAAAATTAATTGATTTTAAAACATCAATATAACTGCAATAATTATTACTAATTCTTCTATGCCAATTGTATCTCTGTTTCCTAAATATATAAATCCTTAAAATATAAGGTTTAAGAGAACATTTTACTAAACTGACGGTATACAAACTAGTTTTTATAATGGTCTCTTACCAACTCCTAATAATAACAAAATAATTAAAAATCTAATCATATGAATTATTCTTCTATATTTACATAAAGTAAAACATATATTATTACACTGAGAAGTAAACTTAGCTATATTTTTAAAAGACAATTGAGAGACACTAGCTTATTTAAAGGGTAACATAATGTATAAAAATATTTTAACGTCTTTTCTCAAGAAGGGATTAAAGATTCTCTTAATTTGTCCATTTCATATTTTAGATAGTTTATATTGACCCAAAGAATTACATACCAAAGTTTATAGACTGATATTCAAATGAAAAACTAAAATTAATTTCAAGATTAAAACATTTTATGTTACAAAAATTAAGAAGTATACATAAGAATCTCTTAGGGTTCTATTGTTCATAGTTAACTGCTGTTGGCATCTAATTCATAGCCTTCTAAACTGTTTTCTATACACATAGATATTCATATTTTATATAAATATAGGATCATATTAGTATTTTCAAAATTTATATAATCATATAAAACTGTATATATATGTATATGTATACATAAAGATTGTTTTGGCATAAGTCCCATAAGATGTCATTGCTGGGTTAATGCCATGTAAAATTTTAAAATGTTCTAAATAGTTCACTAAATTACTGTCCTGAGCAATACTACCAATTTACTTTTACCCATCAATATTTTAAGTACTGATTCCCCATAATGAGATCAACATTAGATTTAATGATGATAATTTTTTTCCTGAATGGGGGCATAAAAAGCTATTTACTGTTCTATTTTATTTTTTTATTATTAGTAATAAATAAATTTTTTTTCTTATGCTCACTAAACATATATAATTCTTATTCTAAAAAGATATCTATTTATGTCTTATATACCTTTTAGAGGCCAATCATACATTTGATAAAAGTTAAGCTTCCATTTATTATAATCTCTTTCCAAAACTCAATAATATTGGTTTTGATATGCCTAGTAAGTAACTCTTGCCAATTTTTCCAGCCATCTAAAGATAGTAAGTCTCTTCTTTTTATTGAAATACTTGTACTATACGAGGCCATTGTATATAGTTTAAGGCTAGTGATACTCTGACTTATATCAAAAAATATAAAATATATTAAACACAGTAAATTATTAAAATGCATGAAACAAATTTGGAGAGATATAGATCAGTAATAGGACTGTAGAAGAGGTTGCCTGGTACTAGGAAGAGAGCAGCCCAGAAAAGCAAAGATTGGCCCTTCTGTGGCCATCATCAGATTCTGTACCATAGGAAGAGTGACCTCAGTCCATAGAGACTGCACTGCCCATTCTCAGCAGGAGCTGAAGATATTTCAGAGACTGCCTTCTCTTCAGGAAGGCTGCTCAAATACACCTTTCAGAAAGTGCTTCCCTGACCATCACTGTTAAACTTCTCCCTCCTACACCCCTTCTGTCCCCTCCCTACAGCTCCTGACAAGCTGGAGACACATGACAGAGTCTCTGTGTCTGACTACCTCCTATCACCCCACTGGAATGTGAGCTCCTGAGCCAGGGGCTTTGCTTGCCTCCTTCACACTGAATTCTATGTCCCTACAAAGGTCCCTAAATATTTAATTAGGGAATGAATAGACCTCGGTTTCCTTAGCCCCTACAGGGGAGGTTGAGCCTCAGCTTCCTCCCAGTTATGAAAACCTGCTGAGCTTTAAATCTTGTGAGGTCATGTGTGCTTCAGATCTGGTGATAGGAATTCTGGTCATCTCAATGACCCCCAGGTATTTTTCCAAATATAGGGCATCAGTCATGGATGCTGAATGTGAAAGTGATAAACTCAGCCTAATTCCCTCTTAAGGTTGGGAGCCATCTTGCCACAAAGGCATAAAAAGTTAATTTTGGCTTTAGTATAAATTACTGCGATTTCTAAACTTGCTTGGAATGCCTGCCCGTGCCTTGAACTCACCCACGCCTGGCTTTTTCTGACCAGATAACAACCCTTTCCAAAACTTAAGTAGCGCCTCATAAATTCTGGCTCTCCCTGGCCAGATAACAACCCTCTCTGAAGCCCTAATGACATCTCATAAATTCTGATGTCGGGACCAGCTAAAATATTAACTATTTTTTGTGTTATGCTTGTCACAATTTTGTTATCTGTAAGTTCTCAACACCCCCCACCCCTCTCCGTTTGTGTAACTTTCTGTGCTATAAAGCTATACTCTTAGCGGGCTGCAGGGCTGTCTTCTGTTCCCGTGGTTTTCGGAGAGAGAACAGCCCAGACCAGTTGGAATTATAAGCTTGCTTTAATTTGATTTCAGTTGGAGTTGGTGGTCTTTTCTTTGCATCCTGGACTAACAAAAGCAAGAAAGAAAAGAAAAAGCAAAGATCTCCCTTGATTTTAGCAGGCACAGTGCTTACCCCTCCCCTCCAGAGGCCACTGACCAAGGACACCCACTTACCTGTTCCACACGGACTTGGGAGTTGACCAGCAGGTGGACAACTGAGCTGGACAGGCCAATGTTTTTAATAAGAAATAGAGTCAGTGTCTCTTCATCTTTCAGGATATCCCGAATGCGTATTCCTCGTCCTATGTATTAATGAGAAAAACAACAAGGTGTTGAAGGAGAGATGGGTCAAAAAAAAAAAAAAAAAAAGGAAACAGGTAGAGCTGGTGGGAAATGTTCTAACTTCGCACTCAAGGGAAGGCTCCATTCTTGGGTTCCCTGGGAGCAGTTGGAGGTCCATCCTCTTGCCTGTGGTCATCACCAACATAGTCACAGTATTTACTGTAGAAGCAGCTAGACAGAGTTCAGTGGGAAGGCATAGAAGGTGGGGAAGGATAGCCCAGGGTGGGTGTCAGATGCGTTGTGGGGTTGGTGCAGACAGTGGCTCTCAACAGGGGATGAGGGGTGGAGGAGGTAGAGCTGGGCAATTTTGTCCCTAGAGAATATTTGGCAATATCTAGAGATAAATTTAGTTGTCACAGCTGGGACAGTGCTCATTCCACAATACATAGCACAATTCCTCCCCAAATAGAGAATTATATGTCCCCCCCCCCCCGAATTTTAATGGTGCTGAGGTTGAGAAATCCTGGTCTAGGATTGGAGGACATAGGTCATTTGTCCACAATGTAGTTGTCATGGGGTAGAGGACCCTTCTTGGAGTTTCTGTACTCTCAGCTCAGGCTCCAAGCTCAGGACACTGGTGTGGACAAAGGGGTTGGGGTATGATGGGCAAGAAAGGCTTCAAGTGGAAAGAGGAGAGCCAGCCTCTTGATACTGTTGTTGGGTTTTTGTTTGTTTCTTGTTTTCCACTGGGGAGTAGAGACCCCTGAGGGAGTCCCTCCATCCCTCCTCCCTGTTGTTGCTTCCTACCAGGGCATCCAGCTCCTCCTATCTTCCTGTACGACCTCTGTGTCTGCACGGTGGCCACAGCCTGGCCTCTCCGCCCTTTGCCTTTCCCTCACCATGCACCTTTCTTCTGCTGCACTTCACCCACGGCCACCCTTGGGCTCGTGTTCTCACCCCATCCTGCCTGGAAGCCTTCACAATCCTAAAGTTGAATATTTCACTCTCTAATTATCAATCCTTTCATCTTGCTCATGTTCTCAGTCACTTAAACAGGGTCATGGAATGTACCGAGGCCTCTATTCCCTGCTTTTCTATTCCCTTCCACCCCAGCTCCTCTCAGTACTTGTGACTTCTCAAGGATCTTTCTGCAGCCTGGGCCTGGTGCATATAGTACAATCACCTTCTTCAACCTCCTTGCCTCCTTGACCTCCTCTGGTGCCTCTCCCCAAGCTCCCATCACCCAGCTCTCCACCAGCCCTGCCTCAGGGCCTGGATGCCAAATATCACTGGGAAAATTGTACAATTGTACATTTTAATATCGTGGTAAACATGTGGTCTGTGACCTCCACTGCTCCTCAGTGCTCCTTAGCATTGTCACATGATTCTGATTTGCTGTCCCCCTGGGACTGCACACCTTACCATACTCAGCAGATCCCTGTTCCCCAGCGTCTAGCCCTTGATTCAACAAGGGCTTCTCAGAGCACCATCTCTCTCAGTGTTTTTCTTTTTGTCTGTGGACTCACATGGGGTGGGACCCTTGGTGCCATTCCTGCCCAACTTCCTACCTTCTAGGCTGGTGCAGAGGAACAGGCATCTTCAGCAAGGCGATCCGCATCAGCCTTTGCAACCCATCTCTTCCTGCCTCCTCCGGTACCCTTTTCCATCAAACCCTCCCCCTGCCTCCTAGATGGGTGAGGCAGGTGTGAGGTCAGCGAACACTGAGAATGCTGAAGCTCACCTGCAATTCTTTCAGGGTGAGTCCGCAGGGTGTCCATGAGCTGGGATAAGGTGCGGAGCTCTATCCAAATCTGGCCAAAGTGCTGGCTTTCTGGTGCATTCATGAGGAGTTCTTGAAAATCTCGATACACTCTTGCCAAGCTGTAAGAACAAAAACCTCATCAAAAAAGAAATAACTGTCGTTTTCATAATATTATTAATACCTTGTGCTATTTGTTAAAATAGGGTGCTTAGCAACTATGCTGTGTCTATTTACAATACTGCCATGACAAAAGGAAAAAAGATGATTTTTTCTCTTTTCCTTTTACTCTCTTGCAAATGTAGGACAACAGATTGGGGTAGTGAGTGATTTGTCCAGTCCTACCTGGCAGGGCCAGGTAACTTGTTAACGCCGTGCTGTCTATATCACTTGTCCTGAGAAACTTTAAACATGGTAAAGCTTTTTAGAATATTGATGTTGGTATTACTGGAGGTTCTTCCAGCCTTCTCCCACTTCTCTGAGACCTACCCCATATCCATTTATGGGGGTAGGCTCTGACAGCCATGCTTCATCCACAAGGAACCCCCAAGCACACACACATACGTACCCCTTCACTGAGGCTGATTGGACAGGGAGAATAAAGTTGAGACAACCAAAGGACTCAGGGTGCTCTTATGATTGCTCAAGTTAAAATGCTGAGAACTGGGTGATTGGTACAGCCTGGCCTTCTAGGAGGAGGGGAGACTGGTCCATGGAGAGAGGTGAGTGTATGGATGAACAGAGATAGGCCGAGAGGCTGGACCTCAAAGTTCAGTCTGGAAGAGCAGAAGAAGCAGCTCTTGCCCCACCTCTCCTGAGGCCTGCCTTTACCCTTGAGCAATGGAACCAGTGGCCCATGGACTGAAACTTTACTTGTGAGAAGGTCTAAATCATGTATCCAAATCATGTATTTCTTTCTGGACCTTAAGCTGACTGGAATGGGTTCTGTGCCTTGCAAGTAAAAATACCTTGAATAAGTCATTATTTCATCTATAATGTGCATATGAAATGTGAACCCTGCTTTCCTGGTTCAAGAACAGGTGGAGTCTGGAGCCCCCTTCTCACTCAGGGGGTCTACCCTAGAAGATGAATGAGCATGAGACAGTGAACGTGTCACAGCAAGGGATTGTCATCAGATTCCAGGTCACATTTTGGGAATATAAGAACAAAGAAATCATGTCCATGTGGACTCTATTTGAATATTCTCCCCAAGTGCCCTGCCAGCTAGTAGAACGCTTCAGGAAAGAATCCTCCTGGGCCCTGAAAGGTCAGGGGTTTACCAATCCACGAGGCTCGCTTTCAGTACTACAGGCTCTGTGTGTGCAGACACATGCATCTACTCCCGTGCATGCGGGGAACATCTTGGTACTTACATGGAGTTGTTGTAGTTTGACACAATTCCTGGAGATTCTCCTGGGGTGGGGCTTTGAAAACAAGGATTGTTCACATTGCAGAAAATCCCCTGGAGCCATGGCAACATTCCTGCTGAGGGCATCGCCTTGTTGGGAAAATGACCTTTGAAACAGGAAATGAAGACAAGAAGGGTTTAGTTATGGAGACCAAGCAGGACTCAGGCCCTAGGAGCAGGGTCCTTTTGGGGAAAGAGTAGGGCCCCTCTGGTGCTCTGCTTTATTCATGGCTTAAGAAGCAGGAGCATTTAACATAGGCCAGGCCTATGTGGGTTGCTGCAGCCAGTCTGTTCTCTCAAGCTCTGGTAGAGTGAGGAGACAGATAAATGTTGTCACAGAGGCATGGACAGAAGTGGGGGATTCAGATCACTCTGTGGTAAGAGGTGTGCAGAGGTGTTAGCTCAAGGAGGCTCCACCAGGCTGCTGGTGCCTGAGGAGAGGAGGCCCCTTGTCTTCCTTCCACACTGTGTATGGAGCACCTACCCCCCACACACGCTGCAGTGTTGCCGAATAATGGCTCCTGGCCTGGAATTAAGGTGAGGAATTAAGAGTTTGCTGGACAGGAGGCTGACTGGGAGATGGAGGATGGAGACTCATGAACAGAGGTCAAAGACCAAGACCAGGGGACCAAGCAGTTTCCAAAACTTTTGAGGTCTCCATATCAGAGGCATCTTCTCCCTTCAGAAGGTGAGAGCTTTCCAAGAGGGTGATAGTACAGAAAGAGCTTCATCCACAAGGTTTATTAAAGGTCCCCAGATACATCAGGGATTCAAGAAATAATATTTTAATAAGTATGATTATATAGCTTACCATCTCCTCATTTTTCTCTAACGTTATGTATAATGTATCCCTAAATCTATTTTTTTCATTGAAAAATATACTTAAATTGGTCTAAGTTAGAGAACTCAATTGTAGCCTCTTCTCTTTTAAATGGGTAAGAGTTTAGGTATATGTTAAAAAAAGATTTGCACATTATTTCCATATTATGTACACATATTTGCTTAGAATGTATAAGACTCAAAATTAGAATTTGTGTAAAACTGATGGATCTATTTCCTGGTACATCGATAAGCAGAGGGATCCCTGTGCCCCCATTCCCAAGACCTTCCTGAATGACAGGCCCTGCAGAGTCTCCCAGGATGCTCCAGGCTCACATTCATGATGACTGTAGAGCGGGTTGGCATTCCTCAACCAGATCAAGACCAGAAACAAAGATAAAGGCCATACGAGTTCCACCACAAAGCGAATCTGGAGAAACAAAACACAGAGAGAAAGACCAGTGGCACTAATATGTACACTTCTCTTGGCACTGTCTGGCTGTAGGACTTGGCTTGTGGTAGGGCTATGTGCTGCACGCTTTTGCCAACTGACAGACCACATAGACCACAGTGGTCCCATAAGATTATAATGGAGTTGCAAAATTCCCATTCCCACCTTTGTAGCATTGTAGTGTGGCACATTGCTCACAAGTTTGTGGTGATGCTGGTGTAAACCAACCTATGATGCTGCCAACTGCAGAAAAGTATAGCACATAAAACTATGTGCGGTACGTAATACTTCATAATGATAGCAAATGACTATGTAAATGATTTATGTATTTATCACTATCCTTTTTTCATTATTTTAGAATGTACTCCTTCTTTTTTCATCCATTCATTTATTTCTGTATTCATTCAATCATTGTTTATTGCATGTGCAGGTTCTTGGGGTAGAATCATTACCAAAAAATCCCCTGCTCTTACACAAACTCCTGCCAAAAGGTGTCAAAATATTTCTATTGAAAAAAATATATGGTTTTCAGTTGTAGATGGACTGCAATATCTTTGATTATTTATTTTTATGTGGTGCTCAGGATTGAGCCAATGCCTCACATGTACTAGGCATGTGCTCTACCACTGGGCTACCACCCCAGGCCTAGAGAGAGCTCATTCTACCCATACTAAATGTTCTTTGTAAGACAGTGTGTGGGGTTGCAGCAGTAGCTGCCTCTTAGATCTCATGCTCACTGGTCTCATGATTGTATTTCTGTTGTGCTTGATTTAATCTTGGGTTTAATCTTGTGTCCTTTGCCATGGCCTTAGGAGAAACAGACTACAACACACACACACACACACACACACACACTCCACTATCGAGCCATATAGCATAGTAAGGACATACCATTGAGCTTTGTGTAATGACACTCTGGTGTTCACACAATGATGAAATCTCCTAACAAGGCAGTTTCTAGAATGTGTCCCATTGTTAAGTAATGTATAAATGCATTGACCTAAAGAACTTCCTGCTTTTATTTCTTGCTCCTATACTCCCTCTACTTTGATTTATTATACAATCAGTTTTGGGGTTTTTTTTTTTGTATCTGGGATTGAACCCAGGTTGGGTTTAACCACTAAGCCATATCCGCAGCCCTTTTTATATTTTATTTAGAGACAGGGTCTCTCTGAGTTGTTCAGAGCCTTGCTAAGTTGCTGAGGCTGGTCTTGAACTCTTGATCCTCCTGCCTCAGTTTTCCAAGCCCTAGGATTACAAGCATGGTCCACCACACCTGGCCACCAAACAGCTTTTGTGTCCAGCTGGGTTTTACTCTGTGTCTAATTTAGAAAACAGCATAATGCAAGACTAATTATAAAGGGTCATGGAGGTAATGGGCTTCAGTCTTTACAGATGATGCTATACACATAGATGCAGATTTTGATTCAGTAGGCCCCAGCAGATCTTGTATTTCTTGCAAGTTTTCAGGTAATTTGGTGCCATGGGTTATAAAGACCTTGTTTTAAGCTGTTATTCTGCAGATGAAGAAAGAAACTCAGAGAGGGCAGGTGATCTGCAGTGTCACATCAGCAGTGACAGCACAGGAGCCAAAATCCAGTCTCCTGCTCCCAGGGCCAGTGCTGTTTCTGCACTTCCTTGCAGATTGAACAAACTGCACCACCCAAAAGTTGTGTACTGGCTTTTCGCCTTCCATTCAGGATCCTCCAGGTGGGGAGCGGGTTTAGCAAGATAGTAATGTGAGTGACATGTGCAAAGTATGAAACTGGAAGTTGTTTCTGGTGTCTTCACCAAGGAAATGAGACAACCAGTCCAGATTCTCCACTTATGACTCCTCCTAAGACAATAGTTTGCAATGTTGGCTTTCTCCGAAGTGAGTTGTGCTGCCTTCCATGGAGTGACATCTTCCTGGGGATGGTCTGGAATGTTAAAAACTGGTGATGATTTGGGAGTGTGCAGATCTAGGTTACAGCCACTTTCAGGCATGCTCAACCTCTGGGCCTCCGTTTTCTCATCTCTGAATTAGTACTATTTTGTCTTACAGTGTACACTGAGGATTAAGAGTAGATCACTCTGGGACCAAGTTTTATCCAGCCTCTTCTCTCAGCTACGAGATCTTGGGTAATCTGTTCAACTTCTCCAAGCCATGGGTCTCATTTAAAAAATGAGGGTGATAGGAGAACCTGCCACCCAGAGGAGTTGTGATAATAAAATCAAGAGCCCAGCACAAGGTAATCTTCAACAAACATAAACCATTGATCACTGCCTCATAGGATTGTCACAAGTGTCACAGGGTCACTGTAGGTGACAGCACATTGTAAAGACAGATGAGCAAGAAAACGCAATTAAAATTGTTGGAACCTCTTAGGCCTGCCCTCCATGTTCATTCCAGTCTCCTCCCTTTCTCGATCTGGAACTGCACACTCGCCAGTTTGAAAACATGGGCTTCCTGAGAAACAGACCACACACTGTCTCCTGATCCTTACACAGAACAGGGCTTGCACAGAGGGAGGGATGAGTCAGTCTGCCTCCCTGTCCCACACTGTATATTTCATCTCTCTATGATATGCTAGTCCCACCCTCTCTCATCCACTCACTCAGGCTCTCCAGTGTTTTTGAAGTGTCCTGTCTGAGCAAGGCATTGTGATTCAAAGTTCATTACAGTGGGAGGCAGATCAGAATCCACCTTCCTTCCTTGGCCTTAAGACTAGTACTGCTCTACCTGGTTTCCTTTCCACATCTCTGAAGTAGGGCTTTTGTTTCTGTCTGTAAGTCAAATAATCACCTTCGTTAACCTAGATCAGCAGCTCTCAGGGTCCTACAGGCTGGAATCACATGGGGACCTCAGTTCATGCCCATGGGACATCAGGAAATTTTTTTAAACACCTCTCAGGTCATTTCAATATCCAGCCAACGCTGAGAACCACTGGTCTAGGTAGTGGTTGGTGATTTTGAACAACATGGGTGGAGTGGTCAGTGGGACTGTGCTGTCTGTGGGTGTGTGACTTGGAGGGGCTGCCCCTCACTTCCCTTCTGCACAAAGCCATTTCTTGCCCAGGCACAGGTCTGTTCTCACAGCAGCCTCTCCTCCCTCCTCCAGAACTGTGCTCCAACCCCACCCCAGAGCTGCATCCTTGGTCTTGAGGCTCAACTGTGCACAGTCATACCCTAGGGAGGAATTCCACAGTGTAACTAATAATGTGTTTTCAGAGCTGCTTGGACTTCCCCTCCCCTTCCCTTTAAACATGTCTGTAACTTTAATTAAGCCCAGTCGAAGTTCAGAAGGGGTTCGTGGAAATTATTTTGTTCTCTCTCTCTCTTTTTACTGAATTGGTGTTTCCTTGTCCTCTCTTTATGTGTGTATCTGTATGTGCGTGCGCACGTGCACACACAAGCATATGTTTTCCTCCACCTCCTCTCCTCCTCTGGGAACCATTTGGTCTATTAGTAGGAGGACAGGTTTCTGGCAAGGGCAGAGTTGGGCTTGTTATTTAACTTAGCCAGTTAGATTTACTTCCCTCCCTGTCTGTTTTCAATTTAAAAGGGGGTAGCCAGGGCTTGAAATAGCTGCACGGTTCCCCCTTGTGCACTGAGAACCCGGACAGGACTCAGCCTGGTCAAATACCACCCAGGACCTGGCTGCTGCACTAGGAGCAGACTGCCCAGCGTCCTGCATCTGCCACATTCTCTACCTCTGACGCTGGACCCAGAGCTGAAGTCCACACCAGATGCCCAGGTCTGGAGTCCATGAAATGATGAGCACCCTACTCTCACGAGCCCTCAGGTCTTTCCCAAATATCCTGTCCTGACCTGGAAGGTAGGACCAGGGACAGACACCAAGGGGCCCTAGACTATGAGCTCTCAGGGCCAAGAGACATAACTAGTCATCTTTATAAACCTTCCCTGATGCTCTGCCTAGTCCACAGCCAGTGTGGGCCAACGTGTGTGTGTCTCATGCAGTGGGAGCAATCTCATCATGCTGAAGCGTGAGCTCCTGGGGAAATTGGGTCTAGCTTCTCACACAAGGTCTCCTCTGAGCTCCCAGAGCTCACCCGCACACCAGCTAGGGACTTCCTTCAACTCCATAGCTGCACTCAGGATTCTGCTCAGTAATTAAGCATGGGAACATCCTCTTGCCTGGCTCTGAATTCCATGAGGGCAGGGGCCATGTCCAGTTTACCTTGGGTCAGGGCCAACATACACCCTCATCTTCCAGGGCCAGTATTAACTTACATTTATTGTTCTGGTGGATGATAAATGATCTGCACTCATCTTGGTGATCTCTATGCCCTACCCGTTAGATAGTGGTGGTTACAAGGGGACAGTGCAGTGAGATGGCCATGCCTGCTGTCCTGGCGTCATGGATTGAATCCCAGGTCCAGCTAACCAGTTACCAACCCTTCCCAGAAGTCTCAATTGCCTCATTTGGACCCACAGGGAAAATCAAGCTCGCTCTCCTGGAACTGTTGTGAGGATTCAATAAAGCAATACGCTTAGTACTATGCCAGGTGCTTAGTAACACTTCTCAAAGATACTAACAAGATAAGAAAAAAAAAGAGTGTGGGGAGGAGGAGAGCTAGGACCTGAAAATGATCTTCTTATACTCTGGGCATTGGGAGTGGAGGCATGGGGAAAATTGTTATCTGTTCTCACTTCTCATTCTTGCTCAGCTCATAAAAGTAAACACTTAAAACCATGGAAGTTTAAGGAATTAAAAACTTTGGAGCCAAGTTATGGCCTGGTGTGTTGTACTCTTCTTAGAGTCACCATTTTCTAGAGGCAGAAGTTTCTAGAAAAGCCAAAAGCTTTGGCAGGAGACACAGACCCCTCTCAGAGATAATGA